GAATAACTATTTAAATTAATAAATATTAACCGCTAACGATAAAAAAAAAACTAAAAGGAATTCTGCATTATTATGATAAAGAAAAAACTAAAAGAGTTATGCATTCTTATGATAGTGAAAGTGTTAATGAGATTACTACTAGAAAGGTGATCAGTCATCACAATTATCGACCATAGCTTATGTGGATGTATCCATACTTATGGTTTTTCCCACTACACTTTATTGTGTACATTCAGTGAGGGGAAAAGTTGCCATGAAAATGCACTTTACTTACGAATGGCATCACCCCAGCCACTAGCCATAACTTGCATTGCATGTGATATCACTGTTACAAAAAGATAAAAAAGAAAGGCTTACGTGCCCTAAAGCTCCTTTCATATAAAGCACCTACCTTCTCTTTTTCCCTATCAAAATTAACTATATTTTCATGGATACTTGATGTTTAAGGATTTCTAAATTAATATAAGAAAAATGTCAACAAACTTTGACCCTGAAACTGGTCTCTTACAAAATTGTTATTGTCGCGGTTGATTGGAAAACTCTTTGAAAAATATATTGTATTTATTTATGCATAATTAAATAATTTATCAAATAACTTTATTTTTCTCAAAAATATAAATTAAAAAGGTATATGTTCAAGTTCAACTGTATCATTATATAAGGGAGAAGTGCTTTGTATTAAATATTTTGTTTGTTTGTTGATCATGAGTGGTAGCTTTTTTTCTCCCCTTGATGCATCTAATGGAATATGAATATGCATGTGTAAGAGAATATTGAAAGTGGTTATTTTTTTTATAAAGATCACGGCTTTTGTTGAAGGACAATTTAATATTTGTTGCAAAGGTAGAAGGGTATGGTGGGTATGTTATAGACATACTAAAAAGATAGTTTTAAAGCACATCACATGTTTGTGTTTGCACAAAGACAAGTTAAGTCACGCCCTATGTTACAAAAGCCATTCATTTCAATTTATTTTCTCTTAATCTAGGGATAAAGCTTCATGCCATATTTTACATTATTTTTTTCTGTTTACTTTTTTCCAAAATCGTTATTTTACTTGATAATCTGCACAATAAATTTAATAACATTATTGCACCTAATTTAATTCTTAAACTATAATGCTTCCTTAAGGGCTATATAAACATAACTTTATTAAAAAAAAA